TTGTACAGGGAATATGGGATTCCTTGTAGAGCAGCAGCAAAACATTTGTCCACTTCTGAATTTTCTTCATAGTCCAGCACAAACTTAGTTAATAACTGACACATCATAATTGCAGACCAAACATCTGCTGCCAATTTCCTAATTTTAAATTCTTCAAGCAGCAGTGCAGGGGCAACTGGTTTCAATTTTTTTTCATAACTTATATCAACATATTTTGAAGCCGACAAATATTGGGAAAGATCATATAAGGAACTCTTTTCGTCACTAAATTGGAACTTCAAAAAACTAAACCTGTGAGCATTCCTGTCAGCGGGAATGAATGTTAAGTCTTTCAATAAATTAGCCCAGACTTCGTCTATTTCAGAGATCATCTTTGGGCAAATATCAGGCCAAGAAAGTGTAGTATCACCCTCCAAAAACAAAGAATGATGACCCAAAGTTGCATGTCCTTCCTCTCTCTCTCTGTAGTTGCTGAGATATCAGGAAGCTTATAGACATTTTCATAAAATATCTTGAATAAGGAATCCACAGATTCAGATGGATTAGTGAACAAAGAAGACCTAGCTCTTACCAATGTTATCCATGGCCTGTTAGAATAAACCTTACACTCAATATTATCCAGCAACTGCGTGTCAGTCGACAGCAGCCTGTTTCCACTCGCAGTAACCAACACTTTTGCCCTAGGTGGAAGTGGTTGCCAAGATGTGGATAGGATGAAATCAGTCTCAACAGGTTCTTCCTGCTCAAGAGACTGAATACTATGATTAGAACCAGGCTCGTCATCCTGATTCTGGAACCCACTGAAATCAGATTGAGTAGATTAAGTCTTTTACCTAACACCAACAATACTAAACTTTCTGCCAACTTGGGATCTTTCCATTGTTGTACATTCAAAAATTTACTCTTCAAGGCCTTATTCCACCTATTTTTAATTTGTAATTGCAATAAATCTGTCTTATCACCTGTAGCTTGATGAAATAGAAAAATTTGATCATAACAAACTGCACAATCCATTGGTGAAAATAAGTTATTTGAGACACAGCTGCCATGAAGTATGCAAGCCACATGAGGATCTATCTTAGTAATCCAAGTCGCTGTACATTTTTTATAATTACATGTAGTATGGCCCCCTTGGGTTTTGGGTGAAACTACTACTACTGAATTCAAATTCTCTACTGACAGACAATTTTTTGAATGTAGTGTCTGAGCTGAACTTTCTAGTCCTTGTGGCTCAGCACTCAATAGTATCTCCTCAGGGACAGTTCCATAGTCTCCTCCATTATCCATAGGCCCGGAGTCCTGACCTTCATCCTCCAGTTGCACATCACTCATCTGAACTAGGAGGATACCATGAGTCGCATTATATCATAACACAAAGTAATAATAATAATTAATAAGGGAGAAAGCATTTTCTCCCAAACTTAATCAATATGACTCATAAATGTTATATTATTCATAAGTTAGTGTTATACGAGTCACTCCTATGACCAATATAAACAATAACTCACTATTTCGTATCTGTCTCCCGACTTATTTATCAAGTATCCCTAAGATCAATGAAACTTATTTATTTAAATTTGTTTTTATAAAATAATTTCATTCAGAACATTTATTGAGAGGGCTCATCAAGATCTTTATTTGTTGCCAATCAGGGACACAGACATTATCCCCAAGTAAACACTTAAGGGAAAATTCCTACATGCGCACTGTCACCTGGCAGGGTTGACAGTGCTGAGCCGCTAACATAGCGCTCTATTGGCAGCAAAGTTCACTGTTACTCTAGTAATATTTATTGGGTTGAGAATTCCACCCTGAATTGGTCTCATATAACCCATAGAAGGCGTATAGTCCATTTCAACATAACTCTAGATTGCTAGTAAGAACGGAAGGTCAACATTCCGGAAGGAACGCTAAGTCTAGCAGCCTCGCTAATGTTCGCTTGAACCCACTACTGAGGACATCAAAGTTATGAAGAGACAAACTCAACTCTGGCCTTTTTGCTGAGAACGAATAGAAACCCAAGGGCAGAAGCCCAAAGGTTTTGTGAACGTACATAAGAGTAGGGAGAGAGACAGTCATTGTATTCATATTAGCACGTGAATAATTGGGACAAAGAGATCGTAAACAATATACATATATATGTATACAGTACAGGGTATATATAAATAGATATATTCACATATTCTCTTTTAGTGAAGACGAGCCCGGGAGGGCGCAGCAACATTCACTGAGTGACTTAAAGGCAAGGAATAGTCACAATGATCTAAACGACTCACAAAGAAAATGTGTTTTGGTCGCCATGCTGACCGAAAGTCGTATAAGAAAATGTCCCAAATACAATAATTGAGAGACATAACAAAATAAAACTTACTCTACTTCATCACTGTGCTATTAAGTACAAATACCATATATAATATCCTTGTGGAGGTGAGTATTTTAGCAATTAGAACACAAATTCGCGGAGCTTCCCTTTGTGTGTTTTATAGCTGAATCGCCAGGCAAGAGATGAGCTTCGCAGTGCGCATGGAGGCTGGTTGAAGGAGGGACTTTCAAAATAGCAATTAAATGCCAGGTAGTGACGTGTCCTTCTAATATTACTTATTAAGTAATTATTAGATGTTTTAATTGCCTGTATGTTGGCCTGGCGAATTGGCTAGGAATTAACATACCTAGGTAGCATTTTTGATCGTCGCATTCAGAGCATTGAACAAAAAACTGTTTTTTAGCAACAGAAAGTGGTAAGAACAAAACTTGGAGTTTATTGGAAGTCCAACCGTAAGGCATGGGTGACAAGACAGCTCTTTAATGAATGGGCTGTTGATGTGTTTTGCCCTTCTGTCAAGAGATACCTAACCACCAATAAACTCCCTTTAAAGGTACTTCTCCTCATGGATAATGCTCCTGGTCATGACCCTGACCTTGCCAGCAATTTGGAGTATCAATTTGACTTTGTGAAAGTGTTGTTTTTGCCTCCAAACACTACATCAATCATACAGCCAATGGACCAGAATGTAATCAGCAACTTCAAGAAGTTGTACATGAAGAAAATGTTTAGGAGGTGTCATCAGGCAATTTCCACTGATCCTGAACTAACACTGAAACAGTTCTGGAAGACACAATTCAACGTCCTGGAGGCTGTAAAATTGATTGTGTCATCATGGCAAGAAGTCTCCACTAGAACCCTCAATTTTTCATGGAAAGCACTGTGGCCATCAGTAGTCCATGATTTTGAGGGATTTGAGGAAGAAACAGAGTTGGACCAGGAGATTGTGTCCATTGGTCAGTCATTGGGCCTTGAAGTGGAGGAGAAGGATGTGGAAGAGCTTGTGATGTCTCATGAGGAGGAACTTACTCCTGATGACTTGAAGCAACTGGATGAGATGTTACGGGTAGAGGCTAACAGTGGTGAGGAGGAAATTGAAAGTGATGACCATATGTCAGCTAAACAGTTGAAAGATGTGATTTACTACTGGGAGAAGTTCAGGGAACTGGCTTCAAAGCACCCAGAAGTGGAAAAACTGAACTAACTTTGTGTCATGTTGAGGACTCAGTGGTCTCCTTCTTTAAACATAAGTTAATGATGAGGAGGACAGGTGCCCCACAAATCACAATTGACACTTTCTTCAGTAAAAGGCAGAGGGAACAAGATGCTAGCCCTCAGCCTTCCACTTCAAGAAGGAGAGAGGATGATGCTAGCCCTCAGCCTTCCACTTCAAGAAGGAGAGAGGATGTTCATGGTGGAGAATCTGTCAGTTCAGAGGTTCCTGACATTTTCATGGAAGGTGACTCACCTTCCAAGAAGCAGTAAAATGCTTCTCCTCCACCTCCACTTCCTTCTCTTCTCCCTTCTCCTCCTCCACCTCCCACTTCAAATGCACATCATCATCATCATCCAGGAGCCTTCTACATACACACCTCAAAGTAAGTAAATTTTTCTACCATTTTTGTTGAAGTTAGGAAATTTTCGGTGAGCTGGAACCAATTACCCAAAAACCCATTGAAACAATGGTTTCGGTTAACGAACTTTTCGGTTAACGAACGACCTTCTGGAACGGATTGAGTTCGTTAATGGAGGGGTCACTGTATTTAGTCAAGTTAATTAGGATAGAATATTATTGTAATACAACAGTTTTTGAACTGAAAACCATTCGAAAAGCGATTACGGGAACATCTTTTGAACGAAAGAAAGCGAAAGTCATTGTTTTCGTCACGATTTTATCCCACTTTCCACTGTAATACGTACGTTCAGCAAAAATATTACATTTCCGTGAATGCATTATATCAAGCACAGTATGAATAGAATACCATTGTAATATAACAATATTTTGAGTCCTACTCTTTGCATTTACAGAGTACTGTACAAGCCCATAATAATGGCTCCTAAAGTAGATAAACTTCGTTGTGTGAAGAGAAAGAAGAAATTGAGTGACAAACTTGAAATAATTAAGAAACTAGAACGTGGTGTGAGCAATACTGTTCTAATGGAAACATACGACATTGGAAAGTCTACAATTTATGATATATAAAAGGCAAAGAATAAAATTTAGAATTCACAGCTTTTTCATTAAAACTGTTCGTTTTGATAAATGAAGCATGCTATATTTGCTAATGAATAAACTATCAAAATGTACCTGTTCATCTCTTCTTTATTCTTCCTTAAATTTGAATTTTAAAAGTACTGCCTGAGAATCCGGAAAATCCGAAAATCCGGACCGACCCAATCCCCAAGCAGTCTGGATTTTTGGACTTCTACTGTACTGGTACAGTACTATATCTATTATTTTATATTATTCCTTGTAGGAGTAGGTAACTTTATTTTTCAATATTTACCACAAAATATGCTTAAGTAAGTTGTATCTGCACAATATACACATTTTATATTTTTTTCTTTTTTAGTCAAAGCTTCAATGGTTTGGAATTATCAATAGTCCAGTTCTGGTCTGGTCTCAAGGTTGCCAGACTAGTGAGGTTCAACTTGTAGTAATCTTATCCTTTAACAGGTTTCAGAGCATCTAGAAAAAAAAGAAGCTGTTCTATCAGAGGTTCTTACAGCAGCCAACCTGGACCCTACCTCATTTAGCCATGTCAGTCATCAGTTGGAGGTAAATTTTGGATTCATTAGCAAATATGTTGACTTGTAAAAAGTATGATGTATGCATCAAACTTATTTGACTAAATACATTATCAACTAATTTGAATGTAAACAAATTAGACAACTCTGCTGAAAACTTACACTCTGTTTGAACGTTTTCATCCATTCCTTTTTTTTTCATTATTGTATTAATCTCATTCAGGTAAGTCATCTCTTTAGAATCATATTGATCTAATATCTCCAGAAGTCTGTACCTGTATTACACCAAATTTAAGAACCCCTTTTCTTTCATAGAAATTTTGGAAGAGAATTTATTTTAACACTTAAACTGCTATCCTCTTCATTTGATGATACCTGCTTCTCTGATATCCACACCAATTTATTTTTTGTGTTTTTGCTCCATGATTTAAACTCTGAGTAACACACTTTAACCGGGTGGGTGGCCCAGAGCTACCAAATGTAAGTGCTCCACATATCTTACACCATTAAAATGGCATAAAATTTTAAAATGTGTTGTCCCACTATGTGCTGAATGTGCTGAAAATTTTTCTATACAGTTTTATGCCATAAAAAATCTAAAAGGTGGTCCCATGTAAACAAAAATTAATTGTATAATGAACCCTCTCAATAATGGACTTCTCAATAATTGATATTCCAACTAACAGATATCATTTTTCCAGGCATTTGGGTGCAGGGGTCCCCGACTTATGAACGCCTGTCGATAAAAACGGGGTTAAACTTTAAATTTACAGTATTTTATTTACCTGATGACTTTTTTACTTTCATTTACTGTATTTTGTCATTCTATTTCTTCTTTTGTCTTAAATTAAGTGATTTTAGATGTATATAAGGACTTAGGCTATGATATAGTGGGATTTTAAGCATTGTTCTGTCAGTACGTTATGCACATACCGTGCATTCGACTTATGTACATTTCCAACCTAAGAAAGTCCTCAGGAATGGAACCCGTTCATAACCCGGGGACCCTCTGTACGTTGTCTGCAGTTGACTTGACTCTGTGTGGCAAATGATAATATTTCAGGAAAGTGTGTAAAACATCATTCAGGTATACCTCACTATTCAGATGGGTTAAGTTCCTTGAAAACCATTTGAATATCCAATTTTTGGAGAGCAAATAACATAGCAAATGGAAAGAATAGGGATTGGTTCCCCACTCCAAGAAAACCCCCGAATAAGCAATGAAAACCTACCTAACTGTAGACACTCTCCAGGTTATCGATAACTCGGGTTAAAGATTTCCAACTTTACGGATACTCCCCTATAACTCCTATTAAACACTCTTGGAGTTTTCATACGCAAATTTTCGTGTGATCTAAGTTATCGCTTTACAGTTTTCATACAAAAATTTGCAAATTTTGATATGGTTGAAAAGGCAGCTGAGAGAAGGGGTATCACATTTGGGGGTGGATTACATGACCTCACACAGTGTACCCACAAAGGGCGACCACACTTTTCCTGGAGACCTGACAACGATAACCTCACAAAATATGAACGTTGAGGATGACCTTATCACGAGATCTGAGATTGAGGAGTTCCACAGCAATTTAAATACAAGTAAGGAGTTACTTAATGCACAAAGGCAGAATATACCATACAGAAAACTCTGATCAAACGGCAATGACCCCCAAATGGATAAATAATTATTTAAAGAATATTACAGTGGTCCCTCGGTTATCGAATGGTTCGATTAATGAAAATCTGGTTAACGAATTAACTCCCATAAGGATCTTCAATTCGGTTAACGAACAAAACTTTGAATAACGAAATCCTTACGACAAACACGTTTTGTTGTGAGCATCAGCTGATGGGCTAGTCTGCCAATTCAGTAATCTGTTCTATGTTTACATTTGTTTCCAGTGGAGTAAATATCAAGAAAGTTGTGCTCTTTAATATTTTTGCATTTTTTATATTCAAATTATTAGCATTTTAAAATTTAGTTTACATATTGATAACATATGCAGTACAGGGAACTATTTTTTTGTGCGCCCATCAGCCGCTTGATTCACCCACCAGGCGTCAGTTTGGCTTTGTTTACAGTGGATTGATCATCGATTTTGTTGGCGTCTTGAATATTTTTGCATTTTTACATTAAAATTGTTGGTCATTCTGAAATTTAGTTAACATATTGATAATATATAGTGCAGTGCAGTGTTGATTTAAATAAAATGATCTTGAATTACACCTAGTGAACTTAAAATATTATTGGTGAAATTACTGCATCAAGCATGGGTCTCCTGAAAGGTGATTTTTCCTCCATCCCCACTTCCTTCTCTTCTCCCTTCTCCTCCACCACCACTTCTAATTCCCATCATCATCATCAACTAGGAACCTTCTACATACACACCTCAAAGTAAGTGTACTTTACTGCATTTTTTTTTACTTTGTATGTACTTTTCTGTGAGCTGGAACCAATTACCCAATATCCCATTGCAACAATGGATTCGGTTAACAAAATTTTCGGTTAACGAACGACTCTGTGGAACGAATTGTGTTCGTCAACCGAGGGACCACTGTATTGGACAAAGGAAGGCTATAGGTAGGAGAATAAATCATGGTGAAGTTTACCTCCAAGAATATTTTAAGGTATTGGCCAGTAGGGTTAAGACCTTGATAAGAAAAACAAAGTGGAATCATGAACTGAGGGTAGCAAGGGAGGCAAAGTCAAACCCCATTGGATTCTTTCAAATGTATCAAACTAAAGCAGTAGAAAAGATTGGACCATTACAGTCGGATACTGGCGAGCTAACTGATAACGACGGAGAAATGAGCAATAATCTGATTAGATATTTTTCAACAGTTTCCACCACTGAAAATTTAAACATGACACCAAGGCACCGAGTATATACAGAGATAGTGAAGAAAATAGATTAAGCAAGATAGTAGTGACTGGTAAGGATGTTAGTAAGCAAATAGACAAGCTAAAGCCTAATAAATCACTAGGCCCTGATGAGATATTTGCCAGAGTATTAAAGGAATTTAAGGAAGAGCTTAGTATGCCCTTAGCAAATTTGTTTAACATATCCTTAAAAACGGGTGTACCTGTAGTACCAGAATCCAGGAGCATAGCGAATGTAATATCGATTTTCAAGAAGGGAGATAAATCACTATCCTCTAACTACCGTCCAATCAGTTTAACATCAATTGTAGGCAAATTACTGGAAGCAATACTTTCAAACTCTATTCGAAATTACCTGGAGAAGCACAAGTTGATCAATGATTCCCAACATGGCTTCACAAGCGGGCGTTCATGTCTAACTAATCTATTAGCATTCTTTTCAGCTGTTTTGGAATCAGTGGACGACAGGCACGACTATGATGTGGCATTGGAGGAGATATTCTAAATTGGATTAGGGCATGGTTACAGGACAGGTAATAGCTAGTGAGCTTAACAGCAGGAAATCAGATTGGAGTAACGTCACAAGTGGAGTACCCCAAGGCTCATTACTGGGATCATTATTATTTATTACAGTAATACCTCACTTTACGCGGTCAATTGAACCCATGGAGGCCCGCGTAAAGCGGGAAACGCGTAAAGTGAACAACAGAACATATGGGATTAATTGAAATAGAGACTGGGCCGACCCCCAAACTCCACTTTTTTAGACACAATACCTACGTTGTAGTAAAAATAACTTCTTAATTTTATGATGGTATGCACACACAATTAATTATTAAGAGAAATATCAATAATATTAGGTTTTTTAACACTTACATTAGTAGAAAAGATGGCTGGGCACACGGGGATGGGGGGGTTGGTTCCGAGGCAGAGGGCAGATTATTGGCCCTCACCTGTATCACTTGGATCAATTGTATCACTATCCACCACAGAGGCTTGCAGGGCCTCTTTGTCAAATCCCTCAAAGTCCACAGAAGTCCATATCCTCACTATCACTGACTTGGGCCGGCTGTGGTGGGTGGTGGATGAAGAACTCGGTAATGTTTTGATGACTGGGTGACCTTGTGCGCACCCTGCCCGCGCCGCTTCCCGCGTATATGAGTAGATGCACCGCGTAAAGTGAACATTCCGGTTCTGGTGGGGTACCGCATAAATGTAGAAACGCGTAAAATAAAACCGCGTAAAGCGGGGTATTACTGTATATAAATAAACGACATAGATATTGGCATAGACAGCAACATAAGTAAATTTGCTGATGACACTAAAATAGGGCGAGTAATTAAATCTGACGAGGACTCCGCAAAACTTCAGGAAGATGAAAAAAAAATTTTGGAATGGTCTGAAAAATGGCTGATGAAATTCAATGAGGACAAATGTAAAGTAATTGGTCTCGGAGATGTAAACAGAGAAACCAGATTCCAACTGAACAACGATGCTATAGAGAAATCCGACTGTGAGCAAGATTTACGAGCCATGATAAGTAGGAATCTTAACCCAAGTAAACAATGTGTATTTGCTCGAAACAAGGCTAACAAAGTATTTGGGTTCGTGCAAAGGAGTGTTAGTTACAAGACTAGTGAGGTCATCCTAAAACTATATCTTGCACCTGTGAGACCACACCTGGATTACGCAGTTCAATTCTGGTCACTGTACTACAGAATGGATATAGAATCCCGAGAAAGAATTCAGAGGAGAATGACAAGACTAATCCCAGGCATTAGGAACCTTGAGAATAGAGACAGGTTAAAGCATCTTAATTAGCACTCCCTCGAGAGATGTAGAGTGAGGGGCGATATGATCGAGGTATATAAATGGAAGTCAGGGCTAAACAAAGGTGACATTACAAAGGTACTCAAACTATCCAACCAGGAGCAAATTCGTAATAATGGTTATAAATTAGACGAATTTAGATTTAGGTGCGAAATAGGTAAACTTTGGTTGGAAATAGAGTAGTGGACGGGTGGAACAAGTTACCAAACATCATCATTAACTCGAATACCTGTACACTGGATAGCTTCAAACATAGATTGGATGGATATATGAGCGATAGGAGTTGGGTGTAAATGGGACGGCCCCGTATGGGCCAATAGGCC